AAAAATCGCGGCAATCTATGTGAATTGTGTGTAGTAAGGAAGTACCATTCATACTTGCGACTCATAGTGTTTTACGGCTGTCCTCTCATTGTTGAACAAAGTTCTTCCGGGCTTGACCACAAAGAACCGAATGTCGTAAAGCATCTTCGTACTTACAATCGAATTGTTTTCTTGTTAGTTAATAATCGCATTGCTTAAGAAAAATCGTCAGTAATGTCTGGGTGCGAAATCGGTAAAGCTACTCAAAGCTTGCGAACTTAACACAATAATGTTGTTGTCATTTTTGCAATCTACTTTATGGTTGTAACAGCAAATATCGAAGACACGGTGGACACGGTTTGTACTGTGGGGAGAGAGCCCTTGCGGTGTAAACATTGTTTTCCGAATGATGGGAGCAGTTTAGTATCCTCTCCGTGTGGAAAATAGGCATCAGCAGAACGCCAGTACACAGTGCCTACGCCTCGCTGCCGCGCAATCAAAACCACTTGCACGTGGGATAGGGATATTGCGATTGTCGCCCGGTCGCTTCGCGTTATCGAACCCGCGCCCTCAGCTTATAACGGCGGGCTTGTGAACCTTAAAGCTACGGATCGGCTATCCATGTGCTTCGGAAACGAACGCAGTAAAAAGGTTCAGCAAATAGTATATACCAGTGACAGCATGTTGATTACACGCGCGCCCTTAATAAACATTGTCCGTTTCAAAGAAAGATAGCAGAGACGAGGGCATGGAAAAAATCAGCGTGTCACACAGCGGTAGCTACCGAGCAATAGCCCATTTTACGTTACTTCTGTATAGTTCAACATCGATATCGGCGTATGTCATGAGGTAGATATGCGAGAGACTACAACGTCTAGAAGATAACTTCTATATTTCCTAAGTAAACGTTTTAAAAGCGGATCAACTACAATTACCAGCCCTATCCCTAATAAATCCCGCCTATTTGAAATATCTTTAGTCACGTCATGAAGCTACAGTGTATCTAGTTCTGTCACCTGCTTTGGAGATTTTCAGAAGTTTTCTTAATATTTCTCGTCTACAGTTCATCTAAAGGAGCTATTTAGTGAAGGTGCACCATGTAATGCATAAAATACCCTAGAAACTGTACCTTATGTATCTAAATTAAATTTTGTGTGTTTCTGGCACATAATGAGTTTGGTGCTTTTAGAAACTGATCCCGGCATAAGAAATGTAAACGACAATAAGCTGTGCTGGTGGACTTTAAAAAAATACCAGTATAATTAATTTTGCCTAGCTAAACGGCTTATCTTGGTAGATGAAGCCAAACGTATCAAAGAAGATGCCCAAATTTTGTGTATAATTTGGACCAAAATTAAGCGTTTTAGAAAATCTTCCCATTGGCTCTTTTAATGAATGCCCCTAACTATGATATTAGGCTACTTCCATCCACCGGTGTTATACACTTACTCGGTTCATTTAATACAAATACTTCGCAGATCCACCTGAAGAAATGATACGGGCTTAGCGAATATAAATTTGAGAAATTTGACAATTTTTATTCAGTTGACTAGATTACCAAAGCCGGATTCAAAGAGGGAAATGGAATCTGTGGATTGACATCACATTTGAGAAAAGATGTCTCTTATTTCGGAATGTAAACGTAAAATGCAGGTCCTTTCGATGCCGAACACTTCAAGTTTTCAACAAGTGGATGTTGTAGCATGCCACCTTCATCGTCTGGCCTTGGTATTTTCGCGAATGGCAGTGTTATAGATGTTGTCATTATTTGTGGAGATACTGTGCAGTTTGTGAGTGAAAACAGAGACTTCAAGCCTCACGGAGGGGATCTTTAACTTACATGAACGTCCTCCAAACTAAGTGATTAAAATACCTCACAGAGTGTTACGCACCGAATGGATAAAAAGTGAGTTAATGGAAGGTTTTAACAATTGCACTGTCGTGATACAGCCTTACCCTACTTCATGATTCCCTGTTATGCATATGCATTTTGTAGCGAAGGTCCAGTGTTGCAAACGAGCAATCACTCCCATTCTTCGGTTTGCAGCAAAACCTATTATTTCTATTTTACAAAATGGATGATCGTAACGCTCTTGTGCATTAATAGCACATTGCGCAAACACCGCCAACATGGAATAATGTGCTCTATTCAGCATAAAATATCCACCACCTGGTAGAAATGGAGTCTACAACAATGGCTATGCTGTCATGCGACTCATTCGAAGTTCAAAGTGAGAGAGTAGAGTGTATCGCAACTAAATTTTAGCCAGTGCGCCCTGCAATTATTTCGATAGAGGGTGAGATAAGGGTATTGGATGACAAGGTCTAGCTTATTCAGACCATTTTAAGTCTATGTTCTTTTGGACAATGGCACTAAGAGTTGGAGTTTGCACTTATTTCCGTAGGTCTGTTGGGAACAGGTATTTTTGGATGCTTTGCTTGGCCGCTCAACAGACTGACAACAGAGCTGGCTTTAGCAAAGAGCAACACAAGC